TTTCAGAGTGCATTATCCTACATGTTAAATAATCATATATTTTTATATAAAATGTATTTTTTTTCACGGGCGACGTCTCAGCTAGAAGTCCCTTTTGAAAAGTAATTTTGTACATGTCCGAGAACTAATTTTTAAACTTATTTACTAGGCTATGCGTACAAATAATTAATTGTTTATATTGAATATAAATTATTTCTTATAAAATTGGGATGTGAAGAAATTTTATTTTCTTCTGATTATCAAGGAAAGATGAATATTTTAGATTTACGCAACATTTAATTCAAGTCAACTGAGTTGAGATGTTTATTTCATTATTTCACAAAAAAACACTTGATTATATTTATCTATGCAGTCAAACCAAAGTAAACGATCCGCGGTACGATTAAAAATATTTTATTTAAAAAGTGAAAAATAAGATTTAAAAAATATTTATGGAGGAAAATTATTGTTGAACTCCCCACTTCACTTTTTTTTTGTTAAATTTGGTGATTAAAACAATCACATACTCACATTCAATATGAAGTTAAAAAATGTGACCACGTTGGCCAATTCTAATATGTTTTCCCATTAATGAAAGTTTTTTTTTAATATGCCGCCTTGCCCCCCCCCCCCCCCGTCCCGGCTTTTTTCTTGCGATTTCTAGGCTCTTAAATAATGATACTATATATGAGATAACTTATTTTCTTATTAATATAAAATTAAATTTTATAAGATGAAAATATAGGGGAAACGGCTTTTATAGATGACAGGTTTAAAAAATTTGGATAAAGCCGAGACTGTGCACATTTAAATATTTTCTGCATTTAGATACGTGCATATATTTTCGCCAATGATAGAATTGAACTCTTTAATTCACGAGAGAATTAAAAAAAAAAATTTAGTTGGAAATAAGATATTTAATAAAGATAAGCTGTTTACTTTCGGTTGTTCATAATGCATGTACAAATACTTGTTTTTTTAATACCGAGTATCAAGAAATCGAACAGATGTTATACATGATTGTAATCTTTATGTACGTAAAAGACATTAGTATTTTAAATAAATTGTATAAACGTTTGAATCCATGTATAAAATAATTTTAAAACAGTTGACTAACTGAACAGAAATAAAAGACAAGCATATTTTTTTTCTGATGCAGAATATTTCTAGTTTTACGGTAAAAACCGATCCCGATTGAAATAAAACCGATCCCGATTGAAAATAATGCAAAATGTGTAAAGTTAAAAAACTAAAGACAACTGCCACCCATAAGACATGTACAAAAATAAATCAAGTAATTTTTTGTCCATATTACAACAAAAGAGCCAAATTTAACATTACAATTATAGTATTTCCTTCTTTATATAATTCCGGTCGGGATCGGTTTAATTGTGAAAAATTGTAAAACATAGGTAAATTTGACCCCTTTTATTTCTCTCAATATAAGGGTGCCCACTGATTTTATTGAGTGACTCAAAAGTTTGTACTTTGTATTCATAATAACATGAGAAAAAAAATCTGTCATTGAAATGTATTGGGTTATATAACGTAATGAAAATTGGATAATGAATTCAAAAAGTTACTTGCTAAACTCAATTTTGGACCACATATTTTTTTCTAAAGAAATGTAAATTGGAGTCTTATTCATTACTAAAATTAAAGATAAGAGTCTATGGTATAAATAATATTGATAGACACATCCAGGTTTTGCGTATCTGGAACATATAAAACAAAATAAAAACGTAGTATTTTTTTTACCCACATGTTGACCTTTTTGCACTTAAAAATGAACATTTACCAAAAATAGGACTAGTGGAGCACTAAAATTTTTTTGATGTTGTCATGTGTAAACACTTGCTTTAATAAGTCTATATGCAAAAAATAATAAAAATCCATGACATGCGATGTGCCACCCATTGCCTGATTTTCAGTGGACTGCCTCTTAATTTAAAATGTCTAAAATAGGCTTTGTTTATTTGCTTAAGAAATACAATGAAATATGTGGAGACAACGAACAGTACATACGCTAAAAAGTCCTTTAAACAATACATATTTGGAGCAGAGGAATCACAAATCTCCAAACTATAAAGTGTATCAGGTGCCAAGGAGAAGTGGGCATCCCCTGCCAACCAGTTACACCGGCCGTTTGATGATTGGGAAATTACGGGAAAATTCTGTCGACAATTCAGTGTGAAGAACTGATCTAATAATTTGAAAGAAAAACATCAGTAAACATGCATTAGACTTAATGATAAATTGTATCTGCTGACAAGGTCATTGTATCAACCACAGAACTTACGAAATGATGACTTTAAACGAGACTGTTGATTTTCTTGGTTCATAACTTCTTTGTCAATAACATACCAACGTTTATGAAATTAATCATACATAGAATACGCTCTTGCGTATCGAAATCAATCAAATGAGAGATATAAACCCCGTATACAGGTGATCAAGGTATACTGCTGCATAAATAAGGAAAGTTGACAATTGGAAATGATCATGTTTATCACAATGCTTGGTTGTAAGATTACCATTAATGCCTTTTCAAGTAAAATATGAAAATATGAAACAGATATGTGTCAGATTCTGTGGTATCTTTAGTTTCAAGCTCACCGGGATATATCGTATCGATATAAGAATAGAAATAACAATGATTATTACATATATTATATATGGTAAAAGTGAAGCAGCAATGTACTATTTTCCTCATGAAAGTAGACCTATCTCTTTATATGAAATAACTAGATGTACATCTAGAAAATAAATAAATAAACTTTGGGGCTATGCTTCAAAGACACCAAGTCTTCCTACAGCGTTTAGTAATATGACAGTACTAGTATTTCAGTCTAAATATGCATCTTCAAACAATTTAAAACCACTAAAAATGGTTACAATGGACAAGATAACCATTGAATTTTTTTTGTAATTTCAAACAAGGAAAAAGAAATAAAAATCAGTGATAAAAAATCATCTAAAAATAGAAAAATTTTCATTATTTCGAATTTATTTCCTACAGTCAAAGAGAAAATGCACATTCTCCATATTCATATATTTATTCATCCTCTTTCAATTTACTGAGTGTATGTAACAAATATCCATTCGTTTCGAACATCAAGTATGCTATCACCATTCTACCATATTTGAACATTTTTATTTTTCGATTTTGAAACACTTAGGTACAAGTTTTGTAGTAGGGATGTCAAAATTGTCAATAATCGATAGGGGTATTCAAATATTCGAGAAAATAAATACATCTTGCATTATGAAATATGTGAAGTTCTATGGTCGATACAATGACATTGTCAGCAAGTACAATTTATCATCGAGTCGAATGCTGACTGACGTTTTTCATACTAATTGTTAGTCCATCATCTATACACAGAATTGACGACGGATTTTTCCATTATTTCTCGATCATGACAAGGAGCACAAGGCTGGTGTGACCGGTCGGCAGGGGATGCTCACTTCTCCATGGCACCCGTGTTTGCTCTTCTCCAATTTTGTATTGTTTTATAGGGTTTTGATCTTATCTTAATGTTTCATGTAGAGTCATATTTTAAAACCAAATATTCGAATCTTAAATTTATATTCGAATATCAGCTCATCGAATGAATATTCGAATATTCGTTGACATCCTTATATTCAAGGACATCCTTATATTCAAGAAACTTTCAGGGAATGAAAAGTCTATTGAGTTCATAAAGACTTTTATATATTGAAATTTGATTGGGTGTGAACATCTTCACATGTACAAATTAAAAGGTGGCGATATTGAGCAGTGATCAGTTGGCAGGAGATGCTCACTCCTTCATGAAACCTGATCCCATCTCTAATGTTTAAGAGGTTTGCGTTTCCTGATTTATATTGTTTAATCGGACTCTAGATCCTGACTACTGTTCGTTATCTCCATATTTTTTATCTAAAAGAATTCAAATCTGCAAGAAGGAGCAAAACACTGATCCCCCGAAATTTCTGAGACCAGGTCTATAAAAAGTAATATGAGCTCACCTTTGATCTCAGTCTCACTTTTCTACTATTAATTCCTTTGGTAAAAGTGAGACTGAGATCAAAAGTGAACTCGTCAAAGTTTTATGGCCCAAAACCTGGATCGGATGTCTTGGAGGATTAAGCATCAATTGTTGATCTGCCACACCTGCTTTGAGCCCTATGTATTGAAAAGGGTAGATAAAACACGCTGTAGGCAAATTTAGTCATAAATCAGGGCCTTTTTAATCAGTTTGTAAAAGGTCAGCTAAAATACGACCCAGTGATATGTTATATTTGTTAGCAAGATCATTATATTTACTCTAGAAATTACAAAATGCTGACTTGAAACAGTGTTTATGAAATCCTTGTAACTTTATTTTATCTGCCAGTAGCCTTCCTCGGTTTGAAAATTGATCGTTCTCTTGAGATTGAGGACGCAAACACCAAATGCAGGTAATAGTTGAATACCGGTATTGCAAGATAAGTCTTCGATATATCCAAATGTTCACAGCAAATTCTTTTTCTTGGGAAGAAGTTTTTGAATATATTCTGAGTTACAGTACTTTAAAGACAGATTGACAAATAATGGAGCACAAAAGGTGCCCATAAATATTCTACAATCTTTTAAGGACCCGGTCTCAGACAAAGTCTATGTCTATACAATAATTGACAATGAAGAAATTAAGCATCCTTTATTTTATTATTTTTTTTTTGCTTAGCGCGTATATGATGAAGAATATTTATTGACGTAAGGAAAGGGTGAATTAAGGGAAACGTTATATTTGGGCTATTGTATGATCGATGTCCATGACTACACCTACGTTAAGATGTACCGGTAAAAGTTCCATCACATCATATAAATAACTTAAAGAGGAATAACATGAATAATTGTTTCTATATCCATAAGGAAATTTTGTCTTAAACACTCAATTTAACTATATGGCGGATGGAATATAAATGGTACCTTATATATAAAGGATTTATGTTTATCATTACTTCCAGTATAATTTTGTAATACACAAGGCTTAAGGAAAAGTAAAAACTTTAATTAAAAGTCTTTTTGAAAGACTTACATGGGACAGGAGTATGATTACAAATTTAGTTTTAATCACTTCAAGTCTACTTTATAGCAGTTCCTCATTGAAAACCACAATCGCTTCTCAAAAGGATAACAAGTGTTTGCAAAGCGAGTAAGTTTTAATTCATTTTCATAAATGAACAAATTATTTCAAGTTCAAATATTTATTTTATAAAGCCAAGACGACTTTTTCTTCTTGTTTTTTTTTTACAGTGGAACAAGACAATGTTGCTCAAGTTTTTATGAGGAGGATGACACATGTCATGGTAGGCTACAGCTGAATTAGAAAAAAAGAATGATTAAGGACAAAAAAATAAACCAAATAAGGAATTGAAATCTTAGCTGGCCTTATGTAGCTTCAGAAAAAATATTTCTATTCCTTGACGTTTCTATTCTTTTATGACATTCAAAATTTTACTTAAGTCCTACATTAGCTGTATTACATGTGTTCCACATCTAATGTATGATCATATTATTTCACAATTGCAATGCTTTTTTGTTGCCACAACATATTGTGGATAAATCAATGGAAGAATAGGTTGCTTTTTTATAAGTGTTTAAGCTATTATAATGATTGTCATTAAAACATTCGTCATGAATGAATATTTTGAATAAGAGTGACAAATGGAAAGACAATTTATATTAGATTTGAGTGTTAGAAATCCACAGCATTGACATTTGAAACATAATTTGAACAAGTGAATAATGCCTTTCAGAATGTATAGGATCATACGGTGTTAACTGCTCACACCCTTGTAAGCCAGGATTTTTTGGACCAAAATGCGCCTTTAAATGCAAGTGTTTGAACAACACGTGTGACAGAATACACGGTTGTTTTGAAGGTAATTTTAGGATTACATGTAAAAATGTATTGAAATGTAACCAAATGTAACAATTTTATAAACAATTGAAAAGGTAATGAATTGTGACGATTTTGTAAAAAATAAAAAGATGAAATAAAAACATATTAGTGAACTTCTCAACTTTTAATCGTCATCTTATTTATCCGTTTAATAGTATAAACAAACAGATATTATTATACAATATTATTTCAGATGTGACAGAAGGTCCAGTTAAAGATTTGGACTTCTTCGGGCACCTAAAATTTCACTGGATGGTTTTCCTTGTAATTTTTATATTTACATTTATTCTGCTCGTATGTGGCATTGTGACCTTAAAAGGTAGAAGTATAAAGTAAGTCATGGATTTAATTGTTTCAAATTCAATTGTCTAAAAAAAATTCCATTATTTTTTAACTGAAATAATTTTGCTCTTTTTGTGAACATTAAAAAGTCAATATTTAAAATAAGATTTTAAAGATATATATTTATGCATTTAATTTTGTTTTGTTTCTGTAATAAGACAATTAAAACTCATTGAAGTTTTACAATTCCAGAAGAAGACAAAAAAGACAACTAACTCAAAGTAATAACTACACAATGACCATTTTTCGTGACCAAGCAAGTGGTTATTCAGAGATGGAGGTCACACCACATGCTTCCACTGAATACCTAAACGCCTCTTTCCAGAAACAGCCGATTGATGATATAACAAGTTATTTTTCTACTGCAGAATATCTTAGAATGGATGTCACACCGCACGCTTCTACTGAATACCTGAACGCATCTTTCCAGACACAGCCGATTGATAATGTATCAGGTTATGTTTCCACTGGAGAATATATTAGGATGGATGTCACATCGCAGACTTCCACTGAATATCTGAACGCTTCTTTTCAACCAAACACAATTGATAATGTTTCTGAATACATCTGAAAAGAGGAACAATAGATTTGTAGTATACTTTTGAAAAGGTTTAACAAACTGGAATGTCTTTGGTTTGTTTCAAAATTGTAACTTGTAAATGGCAAAATCGAAATGTTTGTTTTTAGTTAAAGCTCCTTTCGTTCTTACACGTTTTCTTTGTCAATTTCTCATAGATTTAATTGAAATAATTGATTGTTTTTTATATAAAATGTTAAAGCATTTAAAAAAAAGAATTTAACACTAAGGACACTTAAACATGTAATTTCTTGTTTTATTATTATAACTGATCATTGCGTTGCATGATTAAAAATAACAACTTTTGCTCTTATCATTTAAAAATAATTTATAACTTTTTCTCTATATCTTTGATTAGATTTCATACTGAAGTGATTTCATATTCGATATTATGTGCATGATTTTGTTCTCAAATAAACTTTATAAGTAAATATTCCCATAATGTATGTATTTTGCAATAACATTAAAATGAATCATATCTATGAAGCAGAGTAAGATTTGTTGTTATTTATATTTTACTCAGCAAAAATTACTTATATTTTCAATGACCGTTAAAGGAAAGTGTATTTTGTTACATATTGTATATTGAAGGTACTTAAGATGGTTTAATACCGTACGTTTTGTTTTCTTTTTAAAAAGAGTTTAATCATTTAAAATATTATTAATTTTTTTTTTTGCAGGAGAGGAAATATATCATTTGAATTATTCTAATGAATATAGAGAAATGGCACCTTTGTTTAATAATTCAATTTTGTTTGGATGTCAAGAAATGATACATGTACATATATTTCACAACACATAAGTGTCGATCTCTAACTTTAAGTCACAATACATGTATAAGCACATGTCACAGTATAACTGTCTAAATATAAACAATTTAAAGAATATTGTATAAAATCATCAATTCTAAAACTGAATCATTAAAAAAATTGTTCATTTCCAGACATGCATTTAAATATACATGTATAAGGTCATAATTAGCTGCACTAATGTAGCCCTCTCCGATTTTTTTTTTTTTTTTTTTTTGGGAGAGGGCTACAACTCCTTAGGATCTCTACAATGGCGCAGATGCGGCAGGTGATCACTCCCGCACGTATTTCGGCTCAATTTATCAGTAAACGGCTATTTTATTATCATCTCTTACCTGGAATCCAAATATGTAATTATTCAAAACATAAATCGATCCAAAAATATTCACAACGTTCCATATATCGGTTATTTTTCGTTTGTGTCAACATCTTAACTTGAATTTATCCGCCATGTTTACTGACCTTGATGGATTGTATTTTGGGACAGCCAATGAGAATTTAGGTTCTATAGGAGCGGATCTACTAGGAATTCCCTTATTTTAAGCATACGTATCACTGTTTGCGCAAAAATAACACTTGAAATGGTTTTTATTATCGATGTTTTGTAATATATTAAAGCACAATCGTTTATAAACATCGACATTTGCTTTATTTGGTTGTTCCAAATTTCAAGCGAAAGTCTCACTACGTCACGCGTGAACTGTCATCGCTGATGAGTATTGCAGCTGGGAAAGACACAGGTTTATTTAACATGGTTTTCGAGTTTAACAGGCTATGTTGTTGACAGTGAATAAAAATTCCGTCTTATAAGAAGTAAGTTTAATGTAAAAATAATTTATTTTGCCTCCAATCACCCCGTATCAAAAAAATATATTTGCACCATTACGGAGATGCGATGGAATTGTAGCCCTCTCCAGAAAATATCATAGAAAAAAATCGAGAGGGCTACATTATTGCAGCTAGGTCATAATAACAACCCCACCCAAAGCAGAAAATGCTGCCCAAATATAGAGAATTAAGAGTAATGTTAGTAATGTACACATTCATTTTCGTACTGGTTTTGTTCTTTAGCAGAATAGAATTTTTTATGTTTTTTTTTTGTTTTCCTTTTTACAAAATCTATGAAAATTAACAATAGTTTGTGTTAAGAATAGAATAATAAAATGAAAGGTACAATGCACGCATTGGTACGCCAGCCTGATTGTCAATTCAAAAGAGGACATTTCTATTTAGATTTCAAATGCCATAAACAACTGCAAGATAACAACTGTCATCAACTTTGTTTGTGTTCAGTGTTGCTCATCACTACCTATATTAAATTAATATTTATAACCTAGATTTATTTAAACGATAACATAAGTAAAATGTAATTTTTGCCTCGTAAATGTGGTATGATTAAAAAAAGTAAGGAAATTGTTTCCTTTTCTAGAAAATAATAATTGATCAATAATCTAGCTACATTTGATCAAACAGGGTAATTAAAAATAGATTTATAGTGTTCTGTCAAAATGAGCTGCTCAGCCATATCTTTATATCATAAACTTAGAGCAGGTATTCCAACGACTATTGAATTTCCCACAGAAATTAATTTTGCCACTTAACAAGCTGGTCTGTTTTTAAATTTCAATGAAGCAGAATTTATTTAAATCAAGGGGAATTTCTTCATTTGTTCTCCATATTTTGCAATGACTTATAACTTGAAATTTAGATAAGTTGACGATGTCATTTTCGAATACGTTTATTGCGTAGAATGGCAAAACGATCCTAGATTTTACAAAATATTGACCGTAAACAAGGTTTTCTGGAAATTCATGCAACATTAGCCTATCTGTCGATAACCCGCCTTAGTTTAAAAATGCTCTCGAGTATCAAATAAGTTGGGGTCGCCCGCGTGGCGCATTGGTTAAAGCGTCTGCTTGATCTAGAGTCAATTGGAGTTGATCCTTATGTATAGGGTTCAATTCTCATTTTAAGACGTGGAGACCGGTACGTCCTTCGGATGAGACCGTATAAACCGAGGTGCAGTGTCGTAATAGGTACTGGCACGAAAAAGATTCGTCACTGTTCAATGACCGTAAGTGCCAAGTATAGAACAAAACTTGCAGCTCTCCACCGGCAAGCAACGGCGTCTTCATATGAGTGGAAAATTCTCTTGAGGGACTTTACACAACATACAATCAATTGATCAATCAGTCGAATAACTTTGGAGATGTAAACAACATTTGCCGGTGATTATGGAATAGTGCTACACTGATAAAGAAAGTTAACATTGGAAAAGCTAATCTTATCTTTAAATATATTTATTATATCATTCAAAATAGATGTTTGTTGGCGCTAAGCGCCTACAGTCCGTAAAATATTAAAATATCCAACAGATGTGGCAGAATCTTTTAAGATCACTGTGATATATTGAGTCGACGTATGAATGAAAATAACCTTTTTTAAATTTGGAAATATTTAATTTAAAGGCATTAATTCAGATTAATAGGATTGACAATTTCCAATTTTTATGGATCGTTTATTTGCTGAGAAGTACTATATAAAGCATGATAAAAAGTGGCGAAAAATTTTCAGTCCCAACAATACGGTATTTTTGTCTCTAAATTCAAACGATTAAAGTTATCCTCACTAAAGCATTGATTTGACTAGTTATTATATAAATATTGCATGTAGTTGAGTGTAACATTGAAAATTTTCACCTCAAGAAAACCATTGTCAGCCGAGGCGCAGCCAAGGTTTATTATGTTTATTATGTTATATTGAATGTTTTATACAAATACATATAACAGTGAACCGTGTGCGCATAAGTTCTGCGCAGTCGCTATTTTTTTGAATACCACCCGTCGTCAAGCAATGTTGACTGTTGCTACGCAGGAGCGTGGTTTCATTATTCAGCGGGTAATAGTGTTTTTAAACAAATGTTTCTCGATGAATCAGATTCAAGTAATTTACATGAAAGTATAATATATCATAATATTAAGTTCACCTTTAGGATATTCGGTGAAGATTCAATCGTTCCAATTTCAATCAAACATTCACAAAGAATGAAGTTCTATATGTTGATGTATAATGCTGAAGAATGTTTTGTATTCGTATTTATTTTACATTTTACAACACTGGACTGAAATATCTTCAATATCCGTTGTAAGCGACATTGCTTGGAAAATCCTGCACCAAAGTGCAACGGCATGATAGATGGTTTAGAGAATGATAAGGAAATTTTGTCTTGTCCATCCAATATAGCTTTATTAATAAGATAAATTTATATCAAAATGCGACTTTGTTTAATCGTAACTTCCCTTATAATGCATAACCAGTGTTTCAACAAAAAAGTCAATTTGTAAATTTCATTTGAGGAACGTGATGGATAGCAATGTGATAGAAAATATACTCTTAACCACTTTGAATTTACTTAACATGAATATTTGTCTACAAGCCACAACCTTAACTCCCGACGAAAACATGTGTATGCTAAAGTAAGTTGTTTTAAGTTTCATCGTTGTTGCATATTTTTGAAATATACATACTCTAAATCAAATAAGTTCTTTAAACAAGTTTTACAATTCTTTACAGTGGTACAAGACAATGCTGCACAGGCTTTTATGAAAAGAACCACGAATGTCACGGTAAGCCGAAATTTATACAAGTCATATAAAATATGACTGAGAAAAAACAGTTAAAATTATTCCTACTTACGGAACAATAAATACTTAATTATATATGATATTTTAATTTTCAAGTAGAAATACAAATGTATGTTCAGTTGTGCGAGTTTAATGTGATTATTGTGGCCAAATTATAACGAATTACAAATTAAAAAAAGCTCTTTTATAATATTTGATACATGCTTATAAGCAATCATAGTTGAATATGACAAACAAAATTCACATTACGAGTATCTAACGTCTCCTGTATGTGCACAGAGAAGCTGCTTGCTCCAATCTAATTTTTTCTGAAGAATTCTCCCCAAATAACCCAGTCTTTTAACTAGGTGATAAGATATTTCACATTTGACATATTTTTGTCAAGTTTTCTGTAAATGTCAACATTGACAATCTGCGCATTCGTTACATATTCGAGTCCTGTTGAAATTCTCATCGCAAGACTTAGGCCTCGGTCAAGAAAAATCAAAGACATATTTCTAGAGAATTCATTTGTTTTCAAATATTTAACAAATTTTATTTACAATTTCAAGCATTGGAAATTTATCCTAAAGTAAGACGAAGAAAGTAAACAATCGTAATTATATGGCATATTTATGATTCACTTTTCAGCATGCATCGGGTCATTTGGTTTTAATTGTTCTGTGCCCTGTAGGCCGGGGCATTATGGTCGCCAGTGCCGTTTAAAATGTCAATGTTTACACGAAGAGTGCGATAAAGAAAATGGTTGCTTAGAAGGTAATTAAAAATTATTAAAAATATTTAAGGAAGCCATTTGTTTTTGTTTTTTTTTATTTGAAAGCAAATACCTTAATTAATATATATATATATATATATATATATATATATATATATATATATATATATATATATATATATATATATATATATATATATATATATATATATATATATATATAGGTATTAGCATAGTGATAATTACTATTTCAGTGTGCATAAAACTAGGCTTATAAAAAAGGCTCAAATGATAGTTACAACATATAACTAAGCTTTTGATCTAGGAATAGTTTCATCCTTTCCTTTTCTATATTTACATTTGCAAATGTTTTCCTTTATATAACACTACTGAAAGCAATGCATATCTATAACTGTATAAATAAAGGTACGGGGTCAAGAGGTCATAGATGTGTGTATGGATAAACGTTTGACGTACTGTAAATCACTTTTTATTCGCGAGAACTTTATTTTCGCGTTATTACGCGAGACGATATGCTCGCAAAAATTTCATTCTCGCGTATAATAGAATTCCATTAGATTATATAGAGGAATGACCACAATTCATGAAAATTTTGTCTCGTGAATAAAGAGTAAATGATTATCTCGCGGAAATAAGGTGTGGCGAAAATTAAGTGATTTACAGTAATTTCTCAGTGACGTCATAAAGGGTCGACGCGCGTTCAGTGGATTACACACTTGCCATTGGGTTTGAAAAGTAATGCATTTCG